GAGGGTTTGCCTCCATGCATGGCTGACGAGGCCTAGCCTTCTCCTCTTTGGACACCCTAATGACTGATAAGCATTGTTTGCCATTGAAGTTATCTCAAATAACCTAAGAAAATCTAAAGAATCGCATTTTTTCAAGACAAAAAAAAAAAAAAAAAAAAATTACTTATATAACAGATATATGGCATTTTTTAAGAATCGTCTCAACTAATATAAACTAGGCACTTATTATGTGATATTATAATGCAACATTATCTTGATTATCTAAAAGATATAACTTGAACCAAACTATCTTATTAATTATTGTGATAATTATACTGAAAGGACTTTTCAAAAAAGTAATTTTATATGGAGTCTCATTTTCTATATCCTATGACATGACATGTCTTGATTGCTTAATTTAATAGAGAGTCATGAACCATGATGTTTATCTATTTTTTTTTTCTTTTTCTTTCCTCCAATCAAATGTGAATATAAGTGAGAATAAAAGTTGAGAGTAGGTTTTTGGGGTACATGCAATATTTTTCTTTTTCAAAATTAATTGAAAAAAAAATCATTAATGTATATTGCACGTTAGAGTAAAATTTTCCACGCACAATATAATGAATCTTTTCTTCTCCCCAATGAAATCTTTAGCAAGTCGACATGCAGTTACGTAGGCAGTATGGTAAATTTTAGGGATGGTAATTTCAATCCGCCTAAGAATATTCATTCGAGGATAACATTCGAGTCTATCCTGAATGGATTGGTTTATTTTTTTTTTATTTTTATTGATTTGAAGGAAAAAAAAAATAATTTGAAGTCCACTGACCATTTATTTGTAGTATTCATTTGGAGTCCACTGTCACGAGTGGTAATGGTTACTGATTAGACAGTGCTTGTTTGGTACGAATGTACGATGGAAAGTGACAAGTCTCAAGGCCGGAAATTATGGAATTTTCGATTTAAAAATATCGAAAGTTTTGTTCCGATCACTTTTGGTATCTAAAAAAATCTTTATTTGTTGCTATTTTTGACCACTTTTTACTTTTCACTTAATTTAATATCACTTTCATGTGATTGAAAATTTCATAATTTTCAGCATTATTCTTCAAAAGTATTAATTTGCTAATCATAAAGATAGAAGCCATTGAGGGCCCGTCTCACCACGAATTTTATCTTTTTTCGCAGTTGTTATATTATAGACCGCGGTGCATAATCGATTATGCACCGCGGCCCATATACGGCGCCGTTTCTTTAAGTAAAGAAACGGCCCGCCGTTAGAGTTAACGGAGTCCGTTTGTTTGGTGTATTAAACACCAACTGACACTACAGTATATCCAAACCGACACTGCAGTTATATCAAAATGATACTGTAGTTATAGTGAAATGAAACTGCAGTGTATATAAACTGAAACTGAATAACATTTCACATATTTGAGTGTATATTGTACAATGAAGCTGTAATTATATCAAAATGATCATGTAGTTGTGTTTTAATAAAACTATAGTGTATATAAAATAAAATTAAATAACATTTTCACATATTTGAGTTTATAAATATCGAATGAAACTATAGTTATATCGAAATGAAACTGTAGTTGTGTTCAACTGAAATTGCAGTGTATACAAAATGACACTGAATAATAGAGTTACTTTTTCTAAAAGGGTGCGAAACGGCAGAAATAATCACTGTTAATTTTCATTTAAAAGAAAGTCGGCTCGCCCTAGAATTATGCAACTCAACCCACCTTTTACAGTCTTGTGGACCACGTTGGCCTAACTTTAAAAAAAAAAAAAATTATTATTCTACATTCAAATAATTTAATCTAGATAATATTAAATTTTCTATGTTTAAAAATTAAAAATTTACATTTTTAAGATTTTAATGTTATATATATATATATATATATATATATATATATATATATATATATTTATTTATTTATTTATTTATATATAGAAGGGGTTCCTGTGCGGTTGAGGGTGACATGTGCAGTTGTGTGGTGAAAGAAGAACCATTGATTTTACTTAAATCAACGTTTAGATTACCAAAATTAATTAAAAAAAAAAACGTGATGGCCTTTTGCTAATTTTTTACATTTAGGTCAAATGTCAGGTGCATGATTTTTGTGAGTAAGGTGCGTGAGTTTTATATATAAGGTGCATGAGTTTGTGCTTAGGGTGCGTGGGTTTGTGTTTAAAGTATGTGGAGTTGTGTACTTAATGGTAGTAGTTGTTGGAATTTAAGGTGCGTGAGTTTTTATGCTTAAGGTGCGTGAGTTTTGTGCTTAAGGTGCGCGTGTTTGTGCTTAATGTGAGTAGTTGCTGAAACTTAGGTGTGTGATGAGTTTCCTTCTTAATGTGCGTTGTTTCCATCTTAAGATGCGTGATTTGTATGCTTAAGGTGCGTCACTTATGTGAAACTAAATTGAACCATTTTTAAAACCTTAGATGCGTGATTTGTGTTCTTAAGATGCTTTGTTATGTGCTTAAGGTGCGTGGTTGGTGTTCTTAAAGTACGTGATTTCTGTTCTTAAGGTGTTTTATTTGTGTGCTTAATGTGCGTGTGTTGTGTACTTAAAGTGCGTCAGTTTAATGCTTAATGTACGTCCAACCGCACGGGAAGCTATTCCCGCACCTGATCCCTTCCCCCCCCCCCCCCCCCCCCCCCACACACACACACATATATCTACAAATTTAATAAGAGCGAATAATGTTAGGCCCTTAACTGGAACAAAAAAAAATGTCGGTACTAATTGTTTCTTAAAATGAATGGTTCATATTATTTTGATTTTAGTATCTTTTAATGATTTTCCTTATTTACCCTCTATTATATTATTTTCTTCTCTTAAATAACCCTAAATTCCGTTAGTTTAAACTTTAGTAACGGAATATTCCGTTAACTATTTATTATTCTTAACATACTCTTAATTTATATAAGGTCTTAGGTTCGAACCCCATCCCAAGTATAGTTGGCATAATTGTTAAACATATATTATGAATTATGAATATTATATTTGTATAAAATACTTGATAAATAAATAAATAAATATGTTATTTATTTATTTATTTATTTATTTATTTATTTATCAAGTATTTTATACAAATATATTAATATTTTGTTCAATACTTTCACATGATTACCTACGACACACATCTCACAACACATGAAACATGTAGGGAAAAAACTACCACTACTAAATATCAATAGGTGTTTGTACGTTAAAGAGTTCATATTACAACTAAAATCTTAGTCATATACACAGCAAGGCAAATCTAAAACTTCCTACACCCTAATCTCATTGCATGATGAATCCCTCTATGCTTCTACCAGTAACCTAATTGCACATGACACACTACCAATAAAAAAAAAAAAGAAAAAAAAAGGACATGTACTGAACTCTATGTTCATAATTACTAAACTTCATATTCATAATTATTAAACTCTATATTCACAATTACAGAACTCTATGTTCATAATTACTGAACTATATGTTCATAATTATAAAGGTATATATTCATAATTTTTTAACTTCATATTCACAATTATTGAATTTCTATATTCATAATTAAAGAACTATATGTTTATAATTATGTTCACAACTCTATGTTCATAATTATAAAACTATATGTTTATAATTTTTGAACTATATATTCATAATTATGGACAATTTTAGAACCGTGTCCACCTTGCAAGGTGGACACGGTTCCACAACATAATTTGCCCACTTTATTGCTCTTATTACTTAAATTAAAAAATAAATTAGTAACTACAACAAAAAAAAAAAAAAATACGCATTTAATTAATTTAGAATTAGATGTCTCACAACACATGAAACATGTAGGGGAAAACTACTACTACCAAATATCAACATGTGTTTGTAAGATAAATAGTTCATAGCACAGCTAAGATCTCAGTTATATACACAACAAAACAAATCTAAAACTTCATACTCCATAATCTCATTGCATGATGAATCCTTCTATGATACCACCAATAACCCAATTGCACATGACACACTACCAATAACAAAAATAAAAAAAATAAAATAAAGACATGTACTGAAGATGAAAACAATAACAATGCTACCCAAAAGAGAATTAGAAAAATTTAAACCAAAAAGAGTATTTATTTAGACTATCGCTTTTAGACTTAGTACTTAGATTAACGTTATTACAAAGTTGCAAACATTTATTTTTGTGACAGTTATATATAATCAACCTCTCATATATTATCTTGCATTTATATACATTAAATTACCGATTTAAATAAACAAATTCAACATTTATTTACTTATGCATGAACATCTTCTATATAATATTTCATTAATATACTTTGAAATACTTATTTAAAAACAAGTATTGAGCATTATCCTATTCACGCAAAGCGCGTAGAAAAACTAATTAATATATATATATATATATATATATATATATATATATATATATATATATATATATGAAAAGCTCGTAGGTCAACCCACCAACTTGCACGGGTCAAGTCCGCGAGACCCGTATTTTCGCAAACTAAAAATTTTAGGTCCTAATACGCTCCACAACAAGACAATATAATTTAAAGCTAGCACGCGGGCTTCGGTCTACCTTAACATTTCACTACTCATTGATTTTCTTATTAATATTTTGAAGTAAAATTTAAAATAAAAATAGCATTATTCATATAATTAATTTGAGCTACAAAATAATTATGAACTAAAATAACAATTAATTAATTTAATTTATGAATATTTAGAGTCCAAAACATTACAGATCCTTAGCCATAACATTATTTGTTTGGAGTGACGAGGGAAATTTGCAAGTACTAACAAGGAAGTGTACTAAATAAATTTTTAGCTAACATAGATTGTTCATACGAATCACAACTTACTAGCTCAAACATTGAATGTCAATATGTCGCCCCTCTTGGGGAGTCCTTTTTTTTTTTTTTTTTTTTTTTTTTGAAGGGTGAAAAGGAATGAAAAAATTAAATGTGAGAATTGAAAATAATCAACTTAAAAGACTAATTTGAGAACAGACAGCCCTAATAAAAGCATAGCCAACTTATTCATTAATCCAGAAATAAAACGAATAGACACCACATCAAAGTGTCTATTTATTTGTAAATACATAAATTTGGATTGACAATCGTAAATCCCTCATCAACAACAATGTTTTCCCCATTCAAATACCTCGATTCATCACTCGCCAAGAAAAGAGCCGCCGCCGCCACATCCTCCGCCGTCAGCTCCTCCACTTTGAACGCGGAATAAGCCTTCCCCATTTCATCCTCATCCGTCATGTCAAAGAAACCCTTCGCCAACGGCGTCGTCGCCACCAAGTGCGGCGACACGCAGTTGACTCGAACTCCGTACCGCCCCAGGTCAATCGCCGTGTTCCTCGTAAGCCCCAGCACGCCGTGCTTCGAGCTCGTGTACGCGTGCGACGCCACGCCGCCGGTCACGGCGCACACGCTCGCTGTGGTAATTATGCTGCCGCGTCGGTTCGGGACCATCACGCGCGCGGCGTGTTTGGTTCCCAGAAACGCGCCGACGAGGTTTACGCCGACGACGCGCTCGAAGTTGGATTTCTCGTCGCCCAGGATGCTGGGTCGGTTCAGTCCCGTGATTCCGGCGTTGTTGTACATGATGTCGAGCTTGCCGAATTTTGAAACGGCGGCGTTGACGGCGTTTTCAACGTCGGATTCCTTCGTCACGTCGCAGCGGACAAAGGTGGCCGACGACGCGGTGTCCAATTCGTCGCAAACTTTTTGCGCTAAATCATCTTGAATGTCCGCTATCACCACCTTAGCTCCATGCCGGGAAAACAGCCTCGCTGCCTTCTCGCCGATGCCGCTGGCGGCGCCGGTGATGAGCGCAACCTTTCCTTCTAGCCTAAATAGGAAATAATGTATCGATATATATATATATATATATATATATATATATATATATATGAATTTCACAAATCAAATTTAGAACAATATTATTAAGGCTCAATCTCATCGTGACATCATGAGTTTATTCCACTTTTTATCCTATCATCCTGAGATTATTTTCACATTTGGTCTCACGATGTTAAAACTTTGTCATATTTAATCTTTCAACTTATTTTCTGGTTGTTGATAGTCAAATTTGTACCTCTATGTTATTGAACATGATTACATATTAGTCAAACGATTTATCTTAAATGTTGTTATTTTCTATGATATTTTTTAATTAAAAAATTTGGTCACTGCTTATCAAAAATTAGACCATAAGACAAAATGAAACAAAATTTTAAGAATTGAAGGATCAAATGTGAAAATTTAATAATTAGAAAAACGTTGAAATGATTCAATAATTGTGAAATTAAAAATGGAAAAACTTTGACATCATATTTGGGAATCATAAAGGAAACTATACCTTCTTGCAAGGACTGAGGCCATTGATATCTTCAACCCCTAAAGCAATGAACTATTAAAACCAGAGAGAGTCCTCCACGAATTTAAGAACTCACGAAGGTAGAGCTAACTTGTTGCTCTTTTCATTTATTATAACACAACATATATATACACACTTGAAGCAGAAATATGATCTTTATGTCATATTTGATCAATTTCGTACTTTAGTTGAGCGTTCTTTTAATCATAACATCAAGTTCATTCAATCTGATCTAGGGGCTGAATATAAGAAATTACATTCTTTGTTTGTGCAAGTATGCATTAATCATAAGCAGTCATGTGCATACACTCATAAGCAAAATGTGTGTGTTGAACGGAAACACAGGCACATTGTCGAAATTGGGCTCACTCTTGTGGCTCATGCCTTTGTTCCGTCTCGTTTTTGGGATTTTGTTTTTGAAACTACTGTTTATTTGATTAATAAAATGACTTTCAATGTCTTAAACAATTCTAGTCCTCATCATATGTTGCACAAGTCTCCTCCTATCATATTCTTTCTTTCGTGTCTTTGGGTGTCTCTGTTATCCTCACTTAAGCCCATATACACAAACTTTCCAAGGCAGAGATTTCTGGCCTTCTAATTGATTATCCCACATTTTGATTATAGATTTAAAAGAACAAAAACCTAATTTGAAGAAATATGTGCGCAAATTGCTAAAAGAAATCACATATTACTTTAAATTGGAGTGCAAAACCTAAATTTTCAATTTTACCCTTCATTTTAACACAAACTTAACGCCAATGCTAATGGATGACCATTTTGGCTTGAAATTCAAAAGTCAGAGGACCACTTTGAAAAAATTAAAAGTCAAGGGACCAATTTGAGAAAATTAAAGGTCATAGCTGGAGGACCATTTTGGAAATTAACTCAATAAAATATATTGTTAGAAAAAGTGAATAGATAATCACAGCTCATCCATAGAAAAAGAGAACAGATAACTCTGGTGTCTCTGGTTTCCGCTTCAGAAACTAGCCTGGCCGACTAGTTTCCGGTTGTGGGTTTTCGTCTCCATACCCGAAAACCATCTTAGATGGCCGAGATCTGTCAGATCCGTCACCGGAGAAAAAAAAAATCATAATTGAAAAAAAAAAAAAGAAAAAGGAAACATACCTTGCTTGGTAGTAAGAAGATGATGACAAGAAGATGAAGAAGAAGAAGCTGAGAGCAAATGAGGCGTGTTCTGTTGGTAAAGAAAGACATGGAAAATGACTTTTCAAACAAAAAAAAAAAGGGAAATCATTTTTTAAAAAAACATGTCTATTTTTTATTGGCCAAAATATTATTTTCTATTGACTTTAAATTTTCCTCCTTGCCACTGAAAACTCGAAAAATGATTTTCAAAAATCATTTTCCGAGTTTCCAAACACACCCTTAATAAAAGTGACTTATTGATTTTATTCGGTGCATCATTTTTTTTTTGTCAAAAATAAAAACTAAAAAAAAAAAGTTGGGTGAATTTCGGGGATAGGGGCATCCTCAAGTTTCTTTCCCATTATTTTGTAGGTCCAATATACTCCTCATCAATCTCTATCTCACTCAATCACAAAATTATTTTTCACATTAGTTTGAATTTTTTTTTTTTCAATTTTTTGTGAACTTACCATTTTACGAGTTTTAATAAAAGCGATATTGACTCTTTGTACTTATGGTAAGAAAATAATCTATAAACAAATACTACATTGGGATAAGAATCAGTAGCATTCAAAAAACACAAACATAAAGAAGTCTGTTCTCTTACGCTACGTTGCTGGAACTTCATTGTCGTTTGCATACAATGTATTTTGAGAATACGTGCAAAGATGCCACCTATATGGTACATGTTTGCTTTACCATATTAATTCATATATGTTTTAAAGAAAATTATATTGTACCAAGTGGTTAGTAGTTTATTGGTATTTGATTGTTCTTTTATGTGGGAGGTTTAAGGTTCAAGCTTTAGTGTAGGTGTATATTGGTATGTTGATGTTTTCATTGTTACGTAATTTTTTCCGAATAAGGTTTAAATAGGATACTGAATTGCACACGATAATGTAATTAGGTAACTAAATAAAAAAAATTACAATTGAATCTTTAAACTAACCCATTTATTATAATTCATCCAATTTGCAAGTCTTTTCTCGTTTCTAATAAGTCACCTAAATTTAAAATATGAATAAAATGGTTAAATAAGTCATCAAATTGCACACACGATAATGCAATTATGTCACCGAACCAAAAAAATCTACAATTAAATCCTCCAACTAATCAATTTCATGCAATTTCTTCAATTTGTAGGTTTCTAACAGATCAACCCAAATATTAAAATATTTTTTAAAATATTATTAAAAATAATTATTTAAAATTAAAAAAAAAAGGCGTTTCTGGCCATGGAGATGAAGGGCCCTTCGTCTCCATGGCCGGAGACAAAGAAGGTTTCTTCGTCTCCGGCGGGGACTTTTTTTTTTTTTTTTTTTTTTTTTTTTTTTTTTTTTTTAATTTTAAATAAATTTTTTAATAATATTTTAAATTTGGGTTACCTGTTAATTAGAAACTAGAAAAGCATGTAAATTGGACGAATTGTATGAAATGAGTTAGTTTAAGGATTCAATTGTAGTTTTTTTTAAGGTTCAGTGGCCTAATTGCATTATCGTGTGCAGTTCGATGACCTATTTGACCCTTATTCTTTTTTTTTTAGTGGAGAGATAATTACTATTTGAGAATATATATTAAATAAATTATAATTTTGTGGTATAATTTATAAATACATAAGAAAGATAAATCATATTATGAAGATTTATATAACAGATTCGGTCGATAAGGTATTAATTGTTACACAAATTTTAGTATTATGTTGTATGAAGGGGTTTATATAGCACGATAATGTCCTTAATACTTAAGTTACATGATGTTCATACTATATAAATCAAACTTTAATTAAATGGCTCAATTCCAATTAAGGTATGAAATGGATTATAGTTCAAGTTACATGATGTTCATACTATATAAATCAAACATTAATTAAATGGTTCAATACCAATTAAGGTATGAAATGGATTATAGTTCAAGAGAAAGTAAGCCATACTAACTTGTAAGATTGTGTGATTACTAAATTAACAGTTTGGCCAACTTAATTGAAATATCCCTTTTTGTTCATTTTTTGCAATAATGTTTTGTTCATTTTTTGCAACAATATTTTGTTGCAACAATTTTGTGCAACAGTGCTATATAATCATATTTGCAAGTCGTGCAATTCTAAAATAATGTTACAATAATAATAACAATAATTTCTTCTGATAGCCAAAAAACAACAATTTCTTTTTTTTTTTTTTTTTTTTTTTTTTGAAAAAAGGTGGCACGTGAGAATGAAAATCTTCCTCTTGATGGGATAATTTGTCGACACATTACTGTGGACCATGGTCCATGTAGCATCACGGATAAAAAGCAAAACGATGTCGTATTATTTTAATTATATTTTAGTTTCATTTGACAACACTACTTTGTTTTTTTTTTTTTAAAGTTTATTTTTCACACACTAGTTTCATTATAGCGACACTAAAATATTATTTTAATTCGAATACAATTTCATTTAACAATATATGTTATTATATGAGCTCTATTTTTTTAATTTCGTTTTCCGCACACTATTTAATTATATTAACGCTAAAGTATAATTTTAATAACACTTTATATTTATTTGACAATATATGTTATTTTAGGAGTACTGCATTTCAGTTTCATTGTTCATGTACACTAGCTAGTTTTATTATAGTAATACTAAAGTATCATTTTAATTATATTACAACTTTATTAGACAATATACATTATTACATGAGTTTTATTTTTTAATTTTATTTTTCATAACAACTATTAAAATATCATTTTAAATTAAGATTTTCCCTAATAATATATATTATATATTATATATTATATATTATATATTAGGGCCTTAATTAAGTGGTGCAAGTTGACTAGGCTTATTAAGTGGTTTGGTTGGACTTAATAACTAGTAGTTGTTAGTCAATCAAACTCTGTGCCTAATATAATCCTGGATTGATGGGATACAGGATGATTGATGTTAGCACATTCAGTTACGGTACTCAGACTGCTCAGTAGATACCAATACACCATCTAGAGTTCTGAGTCAGGTCTAAGGCAAAACATGGCTAACGGTTTACCATTTTGAGGCAACACAACAGGAACATCAACTATGACTGGAGATCAACACGGCTACGCTTCCGCTATCATACGAGGTCAGGTTTCTCGTATATAGAGCTGTCGAAACGGTCTCGCGGGGCGGGACAGGCCAAAAAACACCAAAGCCCATCCTCGTAGCGGGACGGGCTAAAAAGCCCGCTGGCGGGGCGGGCTAGCCCGCCAATCAATTTTTTCACTGTGTTATTTTTAAAAAAATAAATAAAAAAATCAATGTACAATATCCTTAAAAAAAAAAAGAAAAAAAGAATCACTGTATAGACGTACAATACACTAACACAGTAACACTACCTAGTATTGTATTCCTATAATAAATCTATAATCTTATAAGTTATAACACACTAACACTATTACACAAATCAAAATAACATGTATTAAATACTAAATATATATGTATTAGCAGGTCACGGGTTTAGCCTGACCCGCCTCGCCTGGACCCGTGACCCAGGCGGGACGGGCTAAAAAGCCCGCCTCCTGGCAGATCAAAATTTGAAGAACCCGTCCCCTACCTACGGCGGTACGGGACGGGTCGACCCGACGGGTAAAACCCATTTTGACGGCTCTACTCGTATACTATAGTTCAGTATAGTTAGATTATTGTATATCTAACATTTGGTATCAGAGCCTTTATAATCTCTGTCTGGTTGATTGTTTTGCCTAAAACAAATTTCATATACATCAAGTATTGTATATGTTTTAGTTTTCAATTACATTCATTTTAATTCTTTGTTTGAAAGAATTAGTTGTAATTGATTTGGATGCCTGAACTTTAATTATGAGCATTAAGCACAATTAAGAAAGCCTATTAAGAATGCCTACTGCCATAATTTATTTGCAAGCAAGTAAGGACGCCATTAAGCACGATTATTTCAATTTCCTTTATTTTGGAATTAAATATATATATATATCGTGATTCTTTTGGAACACTGCCGCGGATTTGTTCAATTTGGGGCAAATATTAAATTTTAATTTGTTATGTTTGAATTTTAATTTAATATTGAGGTTTATATTAAATTGTCTGAAGTATTGTAATTTATTTAGAATGAGTTAATAATATATTAATATGAAAATCCAAGCATGATGCGTATATTTATTAAATAATTATTTTATTGTTATAATTGTTATAATTATACATTCATAATAGCATGAATTAAGGTTGGATTTAGAATATTATTAACTCATAAATTTATTATTAAAATATCATTCATTTTTAGATCCTTAGGTCAATTTTAGGTATTATGGCCTATTAAGGTAGCTTGTTTTGGTTTCTCATTAAGTTTGAGCACATTTTAGTATTATGTGTCTCTGGAACTTTAGAACCTATTTTGAACAAGTTATTCAGGACCTATCTTGGGTCATTAAAGTGTGGATCCTACCATTTTAATTGATATTTTAATAATAATTATAGCTCCTTATAACATGTTTATTAAGTTTTAATTATTACTAACTACCATATTTTGGTATTCATCGTTGGTAATAATATTAAGTTTTTGGTCTATTTCAGTACTTAGTCTATTTTTTTATTCATGTTATAATTCACTTGGGTCATTGAGGTTTATGAGCCTAATTTGAATGATTAAGTGCTATAATTATTGTCTTGACCTGTTTTGAGACATTAAGAATTTAAAGATTTAATTGTTTTTTTGGCCATTAAGAACTACAACTATTGTTTAAGTTGATTAAATTTTAATCTATCAATAGTTTTCAGGGCCTTAATAATAATATTAAGTCTTTAATTTATGGCACAAGCAATATAGTTGGTATATTGTCAGTATAATGGTAAATTGGTTATTACCTAACTTCAGTCTCCCTAAGTATCATAATAGTCATGGTTAATTATTATATGGTAAATTGAGATTTGTATTTGGCATCCCTTAATTACAGTTTTGCCTTTATTGTAGTTATTATTAATTGGCATCATTAATCACTGTTATTAAGTTTAGGGGCTAATCTCATTTATTACCTACCATAAT